AAAAAAAAAAAAAAAGAAAGAAAGAAATGCAAAATGTTGGCCTGAGTCAGTAGCTCTAGAGGCAAGGCCCAGCAACCTGGTCAAGTCCTCTGTGTGATTCTAATGCACATTCAGGTCTGCACATTGGTTTTGATAAGAGAATTCATACAAGCCTTCCAAGAGATAAAGTATGTGTATACTTTATACATACTTGCACGGTATTTGGCACACAGTAGGTGCCAAATAATTGAATACACAGGTGCATTCCTCTGCTCACCCCCTACTCATACAGGCAAGACTGCTGGGGGAGACGGAGGAATTTAGAATGGGATTAGAAATAAAAGAGGTAGGAAAAGTACTGCAAAGCTTGAGTGCGCATCATTTTCTCTGAGAGTAGAAAAGAGAAAGGGAATAAAAAATCTCAGGGGCACCAGTTTATCAGTGAAGGATTTTATGTTTGCAGCTTCTGAGAGCAGGAAAGAGCCTTGAACAGCCAGGGCTGGCAAGCTGGGCCTGCCCTCCTGGTCTTCCCACCAGAATCTGGTCCGGGCCCTAAGTGCGTTTTGCACCAGCTGGTACCTGTGATGTCTTTATGCGACCAGCCAATCTAGCTCTTCCATCCCGGCAGAGCCAACTGTATTCCTTTCCCCCTGGAGCCCCCTCCTCACCCCTCCCACCCTCACCCCAGACCTCTGCAGGCTCCTCCAGCATGGCCCTACATCCATCCTGGCCCCAGAAGGAGCATCAGTTGTAGGTTACAGCTTGCGTGGCATTTTATGAGTGACTCAGACATACAGAGGCACCTATCAGAAGGCCTCGGGCAAGACACTTGGTAGCACCTGGACTCAGTTTCCCCACGTGTCAGCGAAAAGAAAAAAGATAACATCAGAGGTTTTCCAAAGTTTCCCCTCCACCTTAAAGTCTCTAGCTCTCCGTTTTACTGTCTCTATTTTTCACACGAATTAATATATGAGGCCCTACCCTTCCAGAGGATATAAACATTCAAGAATAGGGCTCTGCAGGTCACCACACTGCCGCCTCCAAGCTGATACAGAGGCGGTTGGGTGACCTCAGGGACCCACGCACATCTTGGCTGTGTCCTGGAGCCTTTTGCCTTTGTTAACAATGTGATGTTGATCTTTGGCTTTTGAGAGGGACAAAAAAAGTTGTTTCATCCGTACGTTTCTTTCTATACCTTGCTCTCCTACAAGGTCACTCAGTGCCATTGGGAAAACCCTAATAGGCTTGCAGTGGGGGCCACTGTCCCAGAAGCTGGGGATCAGCACCAGCCACAGAGGCCTTGAATCAGGCATCCTTGAGCATCAAAGCTGACATGGCCTGTGGTCTTGGTAAGACACTGGGGCGGGGCATATTATTACCCCATCCTGAGGCTGTGTTTCTGTGGCAACAATTGGGTAATCCACTTGCAAGTTTGCTAGGAGGCTAAACAAGATGCCGTGTCGAAACCTCATGGTGCTTTACAAATGTGAGCAGTCACTGATGACACCAGTTCCTTCCAGCGCACTCCGCAGTCACCACCGCCAGTGACAGCCATCCTGGCACAAGCACAGAGGCTCTGCACGACTGGACCCGGGGGTCATCTTCCCAGCCTGCTCCCCGTCCTTGGAAACCAGAAATGAAGGCCCCGAGACTCAGCTCCCCCAGACACTGCAAGTGCCAGAAAGACTAAGACAGAACTCTTGTAAGACACCCCAGCTTTATCAAGAAATGGAAAGAGAGCAGTGTATGAGAAAATAATTGAGGAGGAGGAGGAGGAAAAATGAGGAATCTAATATTGAGAAGAAAGGCATTTGGAGCCTTATCAAGCCCCAATAGTTTTACTTGTTTTGTTATTAATTTATATCCCGTAATGTTCCAAAAAGGATTAGATGTGGCCAGCCAGGTGCTAAGTTTGCAGATCAGTTTGAGACGCCCCAGCATCCAGTGAACAGACCATTTGGGTGCAGCACAGTCCCTGTAGGAATAGGCAGTGTGCGTGCTAGGGACCACCCTCACCTCAATCTCTGCCGAGGCAGGGCCACAGGCCCAGGGCTGCTGTTCCCACACATGTCCCAAGACCCTTGGAGGAGAGGTTGGGCAGACTGTGCTGGGTCCCCTGGGTGCCCCAAGACACTGCCTCACCTACCTGTTCTGGGCCCTCCCCCCAGGGTCTTTTGCTTTGCCTCTAGCTGCAGCCACTGTGGCCTTCTGCAGAGGGCACTTGGGCTTCCAGAGCTACTGTGACCACCTATGCAGGGGGCCAGAGGCCTGGGAGTAGCCTGGAGAGGAGGTCTGAATGTCCAGCTCCTTTGCCTCAAGGCTGGGCTAACCCTGAGGTGTAATTAAGCTCCAGAGCTCCCCACAAGATCCAAGATCTGGGATGCTTGGCTTCTCAGCCTCCTGACCAGCTTTACCCCTTCCTTACCTATTTCTCCTGGGAGCACTTCCTCAGCCATCACTTTCCCAGGAACACTGGACTCAGTGGCCAGACTTAAGACAGATGCCTTGGGTTTCTTTTCTCCTCCTAAGTCCCCTCTCAGAGGTTAGCTCATGGCCTCTCAGTCTCCTCCAAACAAGACTCAGGACCATGTCACCCTCTCAGGTCCCAGCCGAAGGACTGTTACACACCTGCCCCAAACTGGACCCAGATTCTTCTTCAGAAATGCTGGTCAATCAGCTTCAGTCACTATAGTTGTAAGGTGGTGTCAGCTCGGAGATAAGGGAATCATTTAGAGGAAGCTATTTTGTGATGGAGCTGCTGAGGAGGAAGCAGGGCGGCTGTTCTACAAACATGCACAGGGAGAAGCAGACAGTCTAGTTCCCCAGGAGCCCCTGGACCTCAGGAGACACCCCTGACTGCTTCCCATTGGATCTCTTGCTTGAACTACCCCAAGTAAGAGGTCTCTACCCAGGCAACCACAGACGTTCCTTTGAATGTCTCAGACACCTTTCAGTCACTCAATGTCCCTTCTGAAGCTAAGGATTGAGAAAGCTCCGTGAGACCACTGTGCCTTCCTGGGGCCCTGTCCCGCCTGGATGAGCCCAGGGTGGCACCTGTGGGGCAAAGTGGGTGGGCAGCATGCTGGAAGGCATAGGAGTAGCTGTTTTCTGGAGTTCAGGATAGAGACGAGAAGGTGTGAAGAGGCCTGGGGGGAGGGGTGCGGCTCTGCTCCTAAAGGAGGCTGTGTCCCCAGCAGCCCCCAAGATACCATATTTATAGATAGGGATCCTTCCATATTTTGGAATGGGTGACATTCAGTTTTTCAAGATACCACTGTACCTTTAATTTATTAGCATCCCATAAAAACACATAACATACACAATCTACAGTATAGAAAGTATAATTTACAAAAATATAAAAATCTTGGTTATTTTTTAGTATTCCAACATATTATTGTAGGTGTTATTTCAATAAACATGTTTAAACAATGCACACTTAACCGGCACGATTACCTCTGCGGGGAATGGCGTCCACCCCCTCCTCTTTGTTTTAAAATAAAATATATATTAAGAAAAAGAAACCAAAATTGGTTATAGGTGCATACGGCTTCTGTGAAAGCTTTTGCAGCAGAGTTTGGAAGTTTATACCGTTATTTAGGCCCTGTTTTCCAGAATCAGTATGTGGCCCAGAGTGTTTTAAACGGATTCTTTAAACAGAGGTTCTTTCTTGTGAAGACAGCAGGTGCCCTCAAGTTTGCAGTCTTCTCCCAAGGTTTTGAGATGATGGTCACAAAAGCCAACACTACAGACACATCCGGCTTTCAGGTCTTCAGAGTAGAGGGGATGGGCAATGGGCAGCCTTCAGGCGAGCCCTAATTCCCAGATTCCTTCAGGGGATTCAGACTGGCATGTAGGGGGCTAAGTCATTGGCAATGAGAGACCCCAGAATGTGCCCCAGGGGACAGATCTTTCTGGGACCCAGCCAGGGTGCCTCTGAGCTCTGCCCCACATATACAGCTGCACCCCTCATCAAGGCCTCACCCCAGAAGGCCCTGAGGATGCTACCCTGCTGGATGTGGGGTGGGGCGGAGATTTCCTTCCACCCGGAGTGGCTGGTCTTACCGGCAGGCACAGGTCTCCACAGACATGTTGGGGTACACCTTCAGAACCACGTTCCGGTTCTCGTCCAGGAAGAGGACCCCAAGAGAGTTCATCTTGTCGGGAACGCAGCAAGGCTCTGGGATGCCTGGGACGATGCCCACAGCCCTGACGATGCTCTGGATGGTGGCGTGGTTGGACGGGCGGACCATCTGCAAGGCAGGAAAGGGCATGGTTACCTAGGCGCTCTGCCCTCACCCACCCACTGCGCCACCAGAGCGTCCTTGACTGAGGCCACAGAAAAGGTGTCGATCTAGGAGAAAAGGTGACTTTCCGGGGCTGGGCACACATTTCCTCTGAAGTCAGCCACAGTCTGCGTCCCAAGGAGATGTGCAAGGGCCTCAGGCCTTCCTGCCCCTCACGTCTCCCGGAGGGAAGACACATCCCTTCATGGCACTGGCCACTTGGGGGCACCTGTGCGTCGCTCATCCCCAAGGAGCTCTTGGAACTGGGCAGGAGTTATCCAGAGGGCGATGCCTAGCTGTTCTGCCTGGGCCACAGCTGCCCAGATTTCACAGTCCGAGGAGTTCAGACATGCTTCCAGTGGGAGGGTGTTCTCAGCACTGGAGGAGAAGGCCCGCAGGCGTGGGCGCGCCAGCATGATGGGGCTGGAAATGGACATTTCCCAGAAGGGTGTGACTGCGGGGGGGCCGGAGGGGGGAGGGATGTCAGGGGCTGCTTCATCTCGTCATAGTATCAGTGGTATGGGGTGGGACTACCTTAATTCTAATAGGAAATGGAAGCTTCAAATGTCAAAGTAACCTGATCAAGACCGCTCAGTTAGGAAGCAGCCAAAAGTCAAGGAAAGTTGGAGGAGCCACGCGGGTTTTCTTTCCCTCCCCAGGCGGAGTCGCATACCCAGAAGAGCCTGGGCCATAGCCACAAACACAGAGAATGCTGTCTCACACACCTCCAACAAGAGAAACAAGACCAAGCCACGGGAGTTTCAGCTCATTTCGGGCCAAAGGAAGTTTTATATACAGTGCGTTCATGAGGAAGCCCCCTTGCGTGGGGAGGTGATAGGAGGGACATCTGATTTGTGGGTTCAGGCTGCTGTCAGGGAAGGTGGCAGGCAGCCAGCTAGACTGATAAGGTAAGTGCTGGGTCAGCCAGCTGGAGCCTGCCGACTGCTCATCCTGTATCTGCCCAGGCCTGTGCTAGGCTCTTCTGGCCAATACCTGTCTCCCTGTTGGGCACCTCCCTTCCTCTCTCTTGCACATGCATGGCTTTAAGGAAAAGCCCCTTAATTCCCCAAACAGGTTAATGCTGCCTGTGTCTGCGGCTGGGATTTCCCAGCTGACTGATTTATTTACATTCAAATTGGATTTATGCACTGACTTCCTTTCTGGAAGGGGAAGGAATGACCTGGAACTCAGCAGAGGAGCTAAGCTGGAGTAAAGTGTGCACACTGTGGGGAGGGGCGACATCAGCTGGCAGCCAGCCCACCACAGCTCTGGCTGTGGGGAGTTGGATGGACAGAGCCACAACCCAGACTGGAGGGAAGGTGAGGGTCTGGAACCCCAGGGCCAGCACAATGGCCTCATGCGCTGTTTCCTGCAGACTCGTACAAGTGAAAGCTAGTTGTCCCGTGGGTCCCTGCCCCGAGTGGGAGGCGGGGAGCAGGGAGTCCATACAGGAAGCCACTGAGGCCAACTCTCCACTGGTCACAGATGCCAACACCCTGAGTTCTGGGCCAGGAACAGAAATGAGAGCCTTGGTGAGGAAGGGGCTTCAGAGGCCTGTCCTGTCTACAGGGGGGCAGCATGGACTCAATCCTTGTAAGGCAGCTGCTGTGGGAACACACACCTAAGGAGATGGGTTCTCCTTTTCAAACGAAGCAATGTTCTGATTTAAAATTCAAACTCAACTAAGTCAGCACTTGCAAAAGCACAGCCAAACCACGTCTGTCTGTGGGCTGTATTCGCCTGACAGGCTGCTGCTCTAGGACCTCTGCCTACCTGTCCCCTACCTTGACTCGATGCGAGGTGTTCCAATCCCCATTTTACAGACAGGAAGCAGGTCCCAGGGCAGAGGGACTTGCCGGCAGGGGCCGTGCGGAGAGTCACAGCCAGACAAGGGGCTGAACGCATCGGTGTTACTCAGACACAGCCTACCTTGGGCATGGGAAACTCGCACACGCCGGCGCAGTAGTAGGCGTCGAAGGACTTGGGCAAGATGATCCATTCGTTCCACCCGATGTCTGCGAAGTCCACCTTCAAATACCTGCGGGAGCAGACCCTCGGCTCGGCCCACTGCTTCCTCCGGGCTTTCTGCATCGTCTTCTCGTCGAAGTCCAGCACCTTCGAGGAGCCCATGAACACATCCGGGCCCTTCTTCCGGCGGTCCTTGCGCCCAGGCCGCGGCTTCAGCGCCCGGAAAGGGCCCGGCCACAGTTCGTGCTTGTGGTAGTGCTGGGCGTGGGAGGCGTGCGCCGGCCTCTCGTCCAGCCCTGGCAGCTCGTTGTCCTGGAGGGGTCCGGTGGCCTGCGTGGCCCGGCGCACGCGGGGGTCCGCCGAGCTGTTGGGGGCAGCGCCGGGCTCCGGGTCCCCAGCCTGGAAGGGGTCATATCTCTGTAGTGTCACTGCCACACTGTTAGGCTCCGAGATGGCCAGGTCGTCAGCGTAGATGAGGATGTAGGGCGCGTGCGGGCTGGGCCTGGACCCCCCTGGGGCCTTCTCCCCAGGATCCAGCTGAGCAGAGAGGATCAGCTCGCCATCTTGGCGGGCTGCCTTGACGATGGGGGAGATGTCCTTGGCCTGCCACAGTCCCCGTGGCGGGGGCGCCAGGGCCATGGCCCCGCGGAGCAGCCCCTGTGTGGCCGTGTTCTGAGAGAGACTGCGGAAGAGAAGGTGCTGGCGAGCGGGCAGGCCCAGGGGCAGTAGGCGGCAGGACACGTTCTTGGCCCGCTGCTTGCATGGGGCCTCTCGTGCCCGGGGCCACCGAGGTTCTGCGTAGAAGTGGAATGTGGCCGCGAGGATCATTTCTGAATCCTGCATAGAAGTCAGGTTGAAGAAATACACAGCCTTCTGGTCGACCACTTCTGTGAGGGAAGAACAGACCGTAGTAGGTTAGGTTCTTTCTAAGATAGGTCCGGGTGGTCCCTGGGTCTCCCTCCAGGGGCCAGGTTGGAAGAACAATGCCCATTTAGGGAGCACCTCCAGGCCAGCCAGGCTTTCTTCCTCTCATGTAATCCTCACAGTAATCTGAGGAGGGTACCCTTACTTATCCTCAATGAACGGATGAAAAACTGAGGTCAGAGCAGTTGGGGACTGTCAATAAATATACCATTGCTCCAAGCAAAGCGTAGTAGACACATAGGGGCTCAGGCCTGCCGGGCCCTAACGCACATGCCTCCTCTCCCTGCACTCCAGTGCCATTCAGTGAACAAATGGCCAAACATCACTGACAGCTGGTGGAGGAGATAAGGTGGAATCAGGTTTCTGGGATGGGTTGGGTTGGGTCCAAGTCCTGCTGACAGCCCCCGTCCTGTATCTGCCCAGGCCTCTGTTTCACAGATATCCAATGCAGTCATTCTTCCAAATGAGGTGAATGAAGTAGAGCCCCTCTTACCTTACTTTCCCTGCATTCTGAGTGCTTTCTGAGGAAAACTGGCCTTAAGGGCACAGCTGTTTGGGTGTCTTCTATTTGTTTTGCCTAAGGGTTTTTAAAGCTTTTTTTTTTACAAAGAAAGGGCAATATCAGGGTTGCACAAAACCAGTCAAGAGTCCCCAAAGACCAGGTTGCTCTCCAGAGGCCCAGATCATGATAAGCACTGGGATTCCTCAAACACTGCGTTTGCAGCTCTAGAATGCTCTGGCCCCTGCATCCCTGAGGCTGTCAGGCACCTCTTTCTTGGTTCTACTAGGTGAACCCTAGGGCCACGGAGCAGAACATCTCGGTGGCCCCAGGAAGCTGCCCCAAGATCAGGCAGCATGAGTTCTCTGAATGGCCACATCCTCTGGAAGGTTCGAGTAGGAGGGAGGGGTCGTTCCCAAGGCCTCCCTATGACACTGCAGGCTGGCGGGACACCAGAGCCGCCAGGTTGGCTGCCTTCCTCCAGCTGCTCTACTTCCTGATGCCAGGTGTCTGTCTGCTGGTGAAGGCTTCTGGGAAAAGTTGCCAGAAGGACGGAGCCCCCAAGCATGGGAGTGTGTATGTGTGCAGGGACACTGGGCCCAAAGGGCATGTGTCAGGTCCTTAGCTTCTCTAACACCTGAACCCACAGAATCAGCTTGGGTTTGTTTTTTTTATTTAACCAAAATCTTCAGGTTAAGGTTATTTCCTTCTATTAGGAAGAAGGTATAATTCGATTGGGAATTGTCGTGTACTCTTAAGGGACTACGAGAGAAAGAGGAAGGAAAGGAAAAGCATATCCAAGGAGGGCCTGATAAATGTCAATCAAGGTTTGGATGACACTCTAAAGACCCTGCCTTTTGTGACCCCTTGGAGCAAACCCGCAGGAGACAGTGGCAGCCTCCCAACATGCTCCACACACAAGGAGCCGTGCAGGGGGCCTTGAAGGCCATTTACACTTGGCTTCTCCAGACACTGCAGCCTAGAGTGTTACGGGCTCAAGTCCCACATTTCCCCAACTTCCTGATCTCTGCTCTCCTCCCCTGGAGATGCTGATTCAGAGGGTCAGGGACAGAGGGGCCAAGGAATTTGTGTTATGAACAGCATCCTGGGGGATTCCAACCACCAGGCCAGTTTGTGAATCTAAGGTTGATGTGTGGGTGGGGAGCAAGCTCCCCAACAATGCAGCCCCCACACCCATCGGGATAGAAAGGGCCGCAGGAACCAGGCCCCCAGGCTGCATCAGGACCACCCCAAGCTCATCTGCCCCGGACAGACAGTCGGGTCTCCATCTCACATAATTCTCTGCAGGATTAAATAAAGAGCATATGTAGTGCGCCAGGCACCAAGGAAGAACCCCTAAATGTGGTTCCCTCCCACTTCTATCCAAACATCAAGGCTGGCGAGCAACTCGGTGTCCCCTCAGTGATCCAAATTATCTGAGTTGTAACCCAGCTCACAAGGCAGATGAAGTATTTCTTCTTTCATCCAATTTGAGCGTATTTTTCTGCTACAGATTCTTTGCTAGAAAATGCTGAAGAGGCTCTAGGATGGACATCTCTGACTCTTTCCAAGGAGCTTGCCCATCACAGCAGGAAGCAAGCATCTCTGGCCTAGAAACTTAGAACCTTTGGTGAGCAGCAGACTGGGAGCACAGAGATGGGCCTCCCCAGAGAACAGCCCCTCAGCCTCCCTCTTAGTGGTGGAGCTAAAGGACTACAGGGTCTATGAAGAAGGTCGGCTGTGACCACCATGGCAGGGCCAGCAGCTTTGGCCTGAAACAGGTGTGGTCCAAGGAAGGTGCTGGGAGGCCTGCCCCCAAGGAGCCTCAGAGGAGAGCTGGCCTTCCCTGAGGGGTATTTCTGCCCAGGATGCAGGAGAGGGACAGTAAATGCTGCCCCTCTCTTAAGGCTCCGAACCGCAGAGAGGGGGAGAGACCTTTGAGGTCACGCTGCCTGATCCATCCCACTCAGGACAGGGGTCCTTCCTCCGTTGGGCTTGAGCCACCTTTGGACACCAGGAGCTTGTCCTTCATGAGGCAGCCTGCTGCCTGAAGACCCGCTCTGCTGGGAACTGTGGGTGGAGATGGGTCCCCCCGTCTCCCACCTGCGAAGGGCCGCAGGCTGGGTCTGCTCTCTGACCGCTCCTGAGTCGTGTAGTGCAGGGGGCTCTGGGCTGTGGCTGAGATAAGGGGAACCTATGTGAAGTCTCCCGGCTTGGATGAGCCTGGGCCTCAAAGGCGAAACGCCCAAGAGAACTTCCTATTTCCTGTGAACCGCTCTGGTGCCATATCTCATGGTCAGCAAGAAAAGTTCCTCCCTCCCTCCCTCCCTCCCTTCTTTTCTCCTTCCTCTCTCCCTCCTTTTATATGCTTCTTTTCCTTTCTCTTTCTTGCTTCCCTCCGTGCCTCCCTCCCTTTCTTGGTAAACATTTCCGAAACTCCTACTCTGGGCTAAGTGTTGGGCTGATGGGGGGTCCTGGAAAAGGTGGTCAGAGCCACCTCAGGCCATAGACAGGCCATCGTGATGACGCCATCTGCTGCCCTGTCACAGCTTTGCAGAGCACTGTCCAAGGGAGGCCCTGGGCATTCACTCACAGGTCACTGCCCTGCTCAGAGCCCTCCATTGGCCCTAAAGCAACACTGGACCCCTTGCAGAGGCCCTGCTTGACCTGGCCTGCCTCCGACCCCACCCCCATCTCTGCCCCAGTCATCCTGGCTTCTGGTCCTTCCAACAGGAAGCATCCTCTCTCAGGGCTTTGCCTCAGCTGTGGCTTTTTGGCCATCAAGCCTCCTGCGGCAGGCACTGCCCCCTCTCCCCTTCAGGTCTCTGCTCAAACTTCCACTCAGAGGTAAGTGGTGAATGACGGGGGAGAGTGGGGTCTTTGCTAGATCTGTCTGTCCCAGTTAACAAAGGGTGATTCCTGGCCTGCTGCCCTGGGGTTCAGCAAACACATCCTGAAAGAAGTCCAGAAAACCTCGTTCTTTGGTAAGACAGAGATGATACAAATCTCCCTGGAGACACGGGGCAGCAGGATCTTTGTCCAGTTACTTTCGCTTGAGCCTCAGTTTTCTCCTCTTTAAAATAGGAATAATCTGGGGCGCCTGGGTGGCGCAGTCGGTTAAGCGTCCGACTTCAGCCAGGTCACGATCTTGCAGTCCGTGAGTTCGAGCCCCGCGTCAGGCTCTGGGCTGATGGCTCAGAGCCTGGAGCCTGTTTCCGATTCTGTGTCTCCCTCTCTCTCTGCCCCTCCCCCGTTCATGCTCTGTCTCTCTCTGTCCCGAAAATAAATAAACGTTGAAAAAAAAAATTAAAAAGAAAAAAAAATAAAATAGGAATAATCTTGTTTATCAGTTATGGAGGTCCAGGCTTCCAGCATGTATGCATGTTTGATTCCACATTTTCCCAAAGAGGAGAGCAGACGGGTCATTCACTCTCTGAGAGAAGATGGAGCTTCAGAAAGGGTATCTAACTTGCCTAAAGTCACACAGCTGGTAAGGGGCAGAGCACCCAGGTCTGTCTGACCCCAAGGCCACGCTCCCCTGTGTGCTCTAGATAGAATGGTGATCTACCTAACAGCAAATGTAACAAAGGCCATGTGCTGTGAACTGTAAAACATTTTGCAAACACAAGTCATTATTTGGATGGGTTGGAATTCTGCCTCTCCGAGAAAGAAAGGACTGACTTTATTTAGACAAACCCATCTCTCCTTGGAGTTTTTGAAATCTCAGAACCTTAACTGGGTCCGCTTTGGGGGCACTCAGCCTCCTTTCCGAGGGTAGTGGGGATGGGACTGGAGGTGGGGGGAGAGGTAGCTCTAGCCCAAGGGTTCCCCCAGGTACCCTGCCGGCCAACCTTCAGGACAAGAGGACCTTCAGACTGCTCTGCCCTATAGGAACAGAACCCAAGCCACATGGGATTTGTCCCTTCATCCACCGCCCTGGAAATAGCCAACAGGGAGACCAGAGGGAGAACGTGAGGCTGAAGCACCCATGGAAGCTGGAGGAAGGGAGCCATGGGCCAGCCATGGGCACAGAGGGAAGAGAACGAACATGCATCAAGCATCCATTTTCAGGCAGGCCCCAGAGGAATCCTGCTTGCATCACTTACTAGCTATGGAGCCTTAGGCAAGTCATGGGGCCTCTTTTTGCCTCAGTTTCCACACTAAGCTGAGCAGAGTATTTGTAAGCACTTCCCAAAGTTGTAAGATCATCTCTGTAGAGCTCACGGCATGGTGCCTGGCACCGAACACGCTCAGAACGTACTGGCCGTGTGGTGTCACCAACTACTGCTACGCTCAGGGCACCTTGTCCTTGGCCCCTCCCTGTCCTCCTGTCCACACCTCTAGAAGGAGCCAGAGAGTCTCACAGCCTCTCTCCTCCTGCGTCTGACCAACCGCAGTTCCTACTGGCTTTGTGTCCTGTTTCTCCGCAGCCATCCTGAACCCTGCAGCCCTCCACCACTGTCCTTACCCATGGCCCCTCCTCAACTGCTACTGTGGCCCCAGATCACTGTCATCCCTCGCATCACACTCATGCTTTGTAAGGAAATCATCTATTACAGATGAAGAGTCAATATCCTTACTACACAAAAAAGCTTCTACAAATCAGTAAGAAAAAGTCAAGAACCCAATCAAGGAGGAAGCCATTTCCATAGGGAACATTGCAAATGGCCGACCGGCATGAAAACCAATTTGGGATGACCAGTAATGGGTAAAAGGTAACTTCAAATGAGGATATAGCAACTTTTACCTGCATGTTAACGATATGATCTTATTAGATACTGTACACATATAGAGAATATAGTGATATATTTACATAAACTATAATATATATGTATTAACTCTGGTTTGTGATTAGGAACGAGTTCTTTTCTTTACTGTGATTTTCTATGATTTGCAGGTGAGCACAAATTTATTTCATGCTCTCTCTCTTCCCCCTCTCTTCCCTTGCCTCCCCCCCCCACCCCCCAATGTCTGCTCATCTGCTCTGGGAAGGCGTCACTGGCCCCTCCCCACTGGCCCTCTCCCTGCTGGGTCAGTGTCATCAGGTCCCTTGGCCCCCGAAACACACCCACAGCCCCTTCTCACTGCACGGCATTTATTTCTCCTTGACCCACCAGCTCGTGCATTTTTCTGAGCAGGGCCAAGAGTGTCTGCGTCTTTGCATCCTCTGAACTTACAGCACCTGCCACCTAGTGAAGTGCTCGGGAGAACTGAAATGAATGTGACTTTTGGCATTGTTGGCGGATAGGTATGTATTACTACTCTCATTTAAAGACGAAGAATCAAGCTCAGAGAGGTTAAGTAACTTGCCCAATTTCACACAGGTCAGTGGAAAAGCTCAGATTTAAACACAGTGGGGGCAGGGAATACCTAACCTTAACCCTCAGCGTCTGGCTCAGAAACTCTCTCCACTGCGGTAGACTTAATAGGGAACAAGACACATTTCAGGGAGCAATGGAAGGGAGGGAGGCAGGGGTGGCTGAAGCAAAAATAGTAGCATCTAATAAATTACGGACACACGTGCCAGGCACTGTCTTAAGCACTTGACATACCTCAGTTCATTTTAAAAACCCTATAAGGAAGGGAACATTACTAGCCCCGTTTTAGAAGTGAAAAACAAAACCTGAGTGGTGGACAAGTTTAGTCCCTTATGCTGGTCGCAGCCTCAGGATTTGGACCTTACCAGTCCAGCTCACAGCCCACACTCAGCACTTGAGCTATGGTGCGTGGTGGCATGCAAGTTATGTGGTTCCATTGCAACAAGGAACGTGGCTGCAGGGACTAGACCACTGGGGCTGCAGAGGCCACTGTCAGGCCATAGGATGGTACCAGTATGTTCGAGGGCCGGAGCTAAAAGCCCCACATTTGTGCCTCACCCAAAGATGAGGGGCCCTGCCCAGGCTCGCAGCTGGATCGCGGGGTCACAAACCAGGCATCTCTGAGGGCTGGTGAGGGGCTTGGTGTGAATGGAAGGAGGGGGATGAGAAACCAAACTGCCTGGGCCTACGCTATGTCAGGCACAAACCCACCTCATCCCACCGAATCTTCCCCTCCCCACTGTGTGCACAAGAAACCCATGCCAGAGGGGTAAGGCTGGTGGAGCTGGCTGGGGCTGGTATTCATGGCTGTCGAACGGTTCCAAGTAAGTGTGCTGCATTTGTCAGTCGCACACTGGTCCAGAATAATTCTGATCTCCCAGAGAATTGTCTGTTCTGCCCTCTGTCTCCTAAGTCCCGGGTTTAGTTCTGCTGAAGGTGGGAAGAGGATGCTAGCAGTGGGGACAGCAGATGGGAGGTGCCACTGTGAACAGCCCCCTACCTCAGCCTCAGTTTCCTTATCTGTAAGATGGGAGGGCTGGATTTGAAGTACTGTCTCCAGGTCCTGCTCAGGGCTAACATCCAATGCTTCGCTATTACTTCTACTGCCCCCATTCTGTGAAAGTGGAAAGACAAGGCCACGCACCTCCACGCCCGGGCTGCGGCAGTGGGTGCGCTCAGTGGACGCGCTCACCCCTGTTGCAGCAGTGACTTGGCTGGCGTTGCTTTCCTCAACTACAAGGCTTTGAGGACTGCGTCAGTGGGTGCAAGGTCAAGTCTTCACCTATATGAACACAAATGCTTTGTATTCCCATGGAAACAACATGCACCAATTCCTCATCTGGCCAGTGCTGGGCTCTGGGCAACCCCACAGGAAAGATACTGGCATGACCTGCCCATTTTGTAGATGAGTACACTAAAGTCCACAGAGCTTTAGTGATTCGCCCGAGGTCATTTTTATGCTGGCTAATTCTTGAGTGGCTTAATAATGATGCTCCAGACATGGACTCCATGCGGTGAATAAAAAGTACAGGGGAGGACAGAGTTAGATCCGGTTGGAGCCCAGAAACACTGACCAAGTGGTCTGCTAAGTGGGGGGTGGGGGGGGACAGGCCTCTCCGTGGCAGATAGTCCCCAGTACACAGTTACACACGGCCAAGCTTCCCAGGTCTGGCTTTGAAACCATAGGTATTACCTTGAGTCACACAACCAGCAATCAACAGGTGGCCGACCTGATCCAGCCTGTCTGGCCCCAGTGCTGGGCTTGCTCCCCTCCACCTCAGGAGGGACCTTAGAGACCAACAGTCTTTCTCCTGATAAATGGTCTTCTCCCCCACAAGGGCTGCAGGGACCCCTACCCACATTTTCTGGAATGATATTCTGTGACCATGAGTGGTCTCCATGACAACCAGGGTTTTCCCGCCACTCCTGCCACCAGGCTGCACCTTGCCGAGGGCCTGGAGTGGTAGCCCAGCCGGGGCTGGTTGATAGCTGAGGCCACAGCCCCAAAGTGCTCTCAGTGCAGGGCGGGGGGGGGGGGGC